ATGTTATTAGGTCCTTGGTAGCTATACAATTTCCATATCTCGGAATTTTGATATCGAGGACCTAAGGTCAGGTCAATTTCTCGACCTCACCATTATAAGTCAATGGGGGAAAATCAACTCCCTGTTTTTCCACTAAAACGCGTCGGAATGGCCCACATACCATACCATACATGACTTCATATGCGATCAACCTACACTAACTTGAGGCCTGTTTTGCTGTTGGGCAGTTGTAAGGTCATGTGACGTCATTAAAGGTCACCAAAGGTTTTTTTGCCAATAACTCCTTACAGGAACGAGATACAGCCGCGCGGATGGTCTCAGTTGTGTTCAGCTCGGCAAGGCGCATCGAATGATATAAATGATGACCTCGAGGTCACGTGACCTGAGGTCAACCTTAGACCTTGACCTTTCGAGGTCAACATATGTTTGATTCGATGCGGATGGACGAGATGATCACGATGATGCTCTTAGTTTGTTCCTATCTTGACTAATTCGAAAGTTATTCGAGAAAAACTCTCGCCATATCTAGCGCCGCCATTTTGACTTTTTTACCTTTGTGACGTCATCGTTGACCTGACCTGAAAAAGACCTTGTAGACCTTGTCCGTGCGTACCCCATGCCGTTTACTGCTTGTCGCTACCTTGCTTCGTTCTCGAGATCTCATGGGGGGCGGTCATCCGCCCCCCCCCAGTCGCGTCGGGTTCCGGACAAAATATCGAAAAGCAAAATATCGAATAGCAAAATATCGAAGACAAATTATCGAAGTGGCAGAATATCGAAAGCAAAATATCGAATGCGCAAAATATCGAAATCGCAAAATATCGAACCGCAAAATATCGACATCGCAAAATATCGACATCGCAAAATATCGAATTGCATAATATCGAATTGCAAATTATCGAACTCGCAAAATATCGAATAGCATAATATCGAAAGCAAAATATCGGAACGCAAAATATCGAAAGACAAAATATTGAAAGACAAAATATCGAAAGACAAAACATCGAAAGACAAAATATCGGAAGACAAAATATCGAAAAGGCAAAATATCGAACGCAGAATATCGAAAAGACAAAATATCGAAAGCAAGATATCGAACAGACAAAATATCGAAAAGGCAAAATATGGGACGCAGAATATCGAAAAGACAAAATATCGAACGCAGAATATCGAACAGACAAAATATCAAACGCAAAATATCGAAAAGGCAGAATATCGAACGCAGAATATCGAAAAGGCAAAATATCGAACGCAAAATATCGAAATGACAAAATAACGAACGCAAAGCGTCGAAAAGGTAAAATATCGACTTGAAATGGCCCTCTGCGGACTCCTTAGAGCTCTGTCGAACTCTGTCGAAATTAGGTTTCGCTCGACAGATCTTCCGGGGCTATCAAACATAAGCGGATCCAACCCAGAGTTTTCGGAGGGTCTCGGAGGGTCTCAAATCAACGCAGGCAGGTGCCAGGGGACATGCTGGCCTCTAAGGGCTCCGTAGAGTTCTGATTCAGAGGGCACTCAGAACGACCTTTGTGGGCCCTACGAAGGTCTCCGAAAGCTCACGCAGACTCCTAGAATTCCACACTGATTCTCAGGCCAAATGTCGGCTTGTTGAATCACTTTATCCGCTCTTGGTTCCCCTTCCGCCGGCCTCTGAGAGTCCCAACGCCGGAACTTATGGGGCCATGGGCCCTACACCGGCTTTTAGGGCCCCTACATCGACTCTTGGGACTCATGACTCATTATATATGGGTCTAAGCGGCTTCTAAGAATCCCCATGCAGGTTCTAGTAGCCGCCAGTCGAATATTTGGGCTCACACGCTAGCTCCCACCTCGCTAGCGCACGGGGTCCCACCCCGTGCACGCTCCAGGGGCCTACCTGCCTCTAAGACCCCACACATACTTTTGGGGCCCAAACGCTTGCTCCTGAAGGCCCCACTGAGACTCCTAGTCCTTTCCTCTATTCAGTCCTCCATACTGGCTCTTTAGGCTAAACATCGGCTCCTGGTGGCCATCCAGGCTTTGGAGGGTCTCCATACAGGCTTTTTTGGGTCCGATGCCAGTCTCTGAGAGCCATCAAAAGCCTTTCGAGCCTACGAGTATACTGCTTTCTGAAACTCTTCGGCAACTTCTGAGGGACCGACCCTGGTCGGAGGGCTCATTCGGTCTGGGGAGTCATGTAGGTCTCTGGAGGAGCCTCTAAGGGGTCGGTTTCCAAGGGGCTTTTAAACACGGTCTTCTAAGAACGGTCTCGTAGGGCCCTTAATGCAGTCCACTGCGGATCCAGAAAAGTGGGTTGAGATGCTGAGGGTGGTGGCTGCTAGACTAAAACAAGATAGATGATAAAAACTATCTGCATTTGCTTCGTTTTGCTTTATTTGAGTTAGGTACACTGTAATTTCAAATATTTTGCAGAATTTGTGTGTTTGGGGATAGTTTTCCAAAATCTTCGTTTTTCATAAAGCAATGATAATCACTCTAAAACATATCGGGGGGGGGGGGCGAAACTTCCAGAGGGGCCCCTTGAGAAAACTTTGCACCCCCATCCGAAATTACCTTCCGCCGCCACTGCTGAGATCTACAAAACAATATCAGAGTTTTCCAAGTCTGTCATGGACCCGCTGACTGCTCTTTGAGGCCTACAGATAACAGAGGGCCCGATGAGTTCGACAGAGCTCTAAGGAGTCCGCAGAGGGCCATTTCAAGTCGATATTTTACCTTTTCGACACTTTGCGTTCGTTATTTTGTCTTTTCGATATTTTGCGTTCGATATTTTGCCTTTTCGATATTTTGCGTTCGATATTTTGCCTTTTCGATATTTTGCGTTCGATATTTTGTCTTTTCGATATTCTGCGTTCGATATTTTGCCTTTCGATATTTTGTCTTTCGATATTTTGTCTTTCAATATTTTGTCTTTCGATATTTTGTCTTTCGATATTTTGTCTTTCAATATTTTGTCTTTCGATATTTTGTCTTTCGATGTTTTGCGTTTCGATATTTTGCGTTTCGATAGTTTGCGTTTCGATATTTTGCTTTCGATATTATGCTATTCGATATTTTGCGATTTCGATATTTTGCAATTCGATATTTTGCGATTCGATATTTTGCGAAATCGATATTTTGCGATTTCGATATTTTGCAATTCGATATTTTGCGAAATCGATATTTTGCGATTTCGATAATTTGCGACTTCGATATTTTGCTTTCGATAATTTGCGTTCGATATTTTGCGCTTCGATATTTTGCGTTTCGATATTTTGTCATGGAAGCCGTCGCGTCGGTTGTAAGTTGGCGCAGACCCCTGTCGGTGCGCGGGTTAAAGACATCATCTATGATCAACACTAACACGATATTCGTGATCAGCACCCCGAAAAAAAACCATAGCAGCCACACCTTGCGACTTTCCAACAGGTCCCCAATTTCCCTACTTTTGGGTCATTGACCTGACCTGGAAGGTAAACCAATTGCCTAGGACCTAAAAATGGGTATCATCGGCTTCCTCTCGTCACGCGCAACACACTCGTTTTTTTTTCCACGAAGCTCTAGCTCGATCAGGAGCCAAACGGCAAGGGGGGTCCAACCTACCCCCCCCCCCTACACGTTAGAAGCTGGCAAATGCCGCACACATGCGAGGGTTAACACATCATGCTGTGCAGCTTTATAACCCGGCAGTTGCTGAGGTATTTCGCCACCCACCGTTTGCTGGGGGGGGGGGGGGCGTTAAACGCCCCCAGCCGATAACTCGAGAACCAATAGGCGCAGCGAAACGCACGAGGCGGCAAACGAAAGAGCGCAACGAGACGCTTCAGATGAGTACTTTTAAGTTGAATTTTGAGGTCACAGGTCGGGTCAAGGTCAGGTCAAACACCTGAAATCGGACTTTCAGTAGCATGGACTTCAGGACTTCGCAATGGGCGCCTCTCGCCATAAACTCTGTCAAAACGGTGCACAATCCATCTTATAAGGCCTACAAGAGTGTCAGCTCCATGTAGGGGTCAGTCAAGCATAGGTCAGGGTCAAGGTCAGGTCAACCGGGTAGGCACATATCCCCGAAAATCAAAACTGATATTCGCAGCCTGTGACACATGTTTTATAGGTAATTTGGGGCGTAGAACACGATAGTGACATTTATTTTATCATATGTGTACGTGTTTGGCTCAAAAGGTTCAATTTAAGAAATCATGTATCATGGTCGTAAAGTAGTCACGAAAAATTGCCAAGATTCAGTTCAAGATTATGGAAAATGCGGAACGATAATCAATAATCGAAGATAGCCATTTGATTGATCATGGTATTGGCAGTCTAATGGCGTTTACAGCATGTCTGTATGTCTATTCTGTGATTTTATATGATTTTTTGAACATATGCCGTTTTTGGTCGAAAACTCAGAAATCATGACGTCACTAAAACCTCGATATCTCAAAAAATTTCCGACCGATTTTTTTGAAACTTTGTCACAATAAACTTCAATCAATTCCCTACAGGTACCCAAAATTTGGCGCGCCTGCGGCGCGCCGTTTTTATGCTATGGCCCAGCGAAAAAAGTGGGGGCGTTTAACGCCCCCCCCCCCAGCAACTCGCGGGATAATGTGTGCGCTACAGTGTAGTATCATAACTATGTAGGTCGCAACTAAGAAACGGGCATTTTTAGTAGGTACTAAGCCTGGTTCGAAAATGCCTAAAAATAAAGACACATTGTCATTTGTAATTCCGAGATTTTTATTTTATTTTACAGGAACATTCAAAAGACGGATACATACCTACCTCTGATACATCTGATACATCTGATATTTATATCACTGACAATGGGCTGATATAAACCAAACGGGTTTCTCCGGTAACATATGTACAGCAGAATGCAGTATGAAAAATATTACTGACATTATCACATGGTAAAAGCGCAAGACTACGATGACTTTCACCATTTTCAGCGGCATAGAATGAAAAAAAAATGCTGGTTATAGGTAAAGCCAGGCAGCGAGTGCTTATCAGGGCAGGTAAAACAAAATCCAATTATAATTAGGTATATTCTTCAACCCGTCAAACCCGCTTTAAGCGCTTTCGTGAAAAGTGCACGTAAGGTGTTAAAAGAGATAATATGGCCTACATTACACATTATGTTACCATTGATTTTATTTTTTGGCATTCGATTCATTCCTATTGCCCGTCTGGTGCCATTGTTTATTTTTGCACTCGATCCGACAGGCTTCAAAAAGCTGACTATATCACCCCATCAGGAACATACGAGTGCAACTGCCTATGCACTACGAAGCGGAAGGCGACTCGGAGTCAACCCACCAGCTCGAGCATATAACGAGACACAGCTAATTACCGAATGAATATCCAGGGTACGTTACAAAGCATTTTACATTTCAACAGCAATATACTTATAGCAAGGCGTAGCCATAAGCCAAGTGTAACCAAGCATACACAGGAACACAGCTGGTAGCAATCAATACTGGTTGCACCTCGGCAGCAGTACCCTGACGCTGCAAGGGCATCTAGACGCAAATTCACAGCGATGTCCGACACATGCCGAACCTAGCGAACGCCCGTGCCATACAGCGGGTTGTCCTCCATGTCATCAGAAAGAGGTGTTCTTCCACCAGCATCGGTCATCCCCACCGCAGAGTTTCCAGATCCTGCATAAAGTGGGTTCGCCAGATCACTTTCAGGATGGCTAGGCGCAGGAGACATTCCGACTGGGCTAAGTCGAGCTTCAACAGGATTTCCGTCAGGATGGTGGCAGCTGAGATCGCCAATCTTTGAGTTGGCCTCCCGTGAGGAGTCTCCAGGAGCTGCGAGGAAAGACATATCCTCATACGTGGGCTCATGCAAAGGCTGGCAAGATTTATCGTGAGACTTATCACGTAGTGCTTTCTCTTCAAGGCCGTGGTGCTGCTGAAGTTTTGCGGACACCGGGTCTTTGGAAGCTGACTTCGCCTTACGAGTATTGTGTTCTTCTGATTTATTTCGCTTCTTACTTGGCTTCTTCTTGATGATCTGTGCGTAGACTGCAGGTTCTGACATCATCGTACCAGGCTCTGTCTCAGCGGTGTCCGGCCGGTCTGTCGTAGACTGTGTGCTGGGCTTCTTTCCGTCTGCCTTTTGGACCTGAGCATATACTGGGATGACCTCCTTGACACCGGCATCAATACTTATTGAGATGGTAGGTGCAACAGTGCTGTCAGTCGCCTCTTTTTCCTGCTTTTGATCATCAGGCTCATCGACCTGTTTGGTGGTTGACTTTCGGCCTTTATCCACTTGAGCGTAGACTGGAGGGTCGCTTGAGTTGTTCTCAGCTGAGGAGTTCATCGAAAACTCCTCCGCGTGGTTGTCTTCCATGACGGCGTCGGTTACCTGTGCGTACAGAGACTGCACGTGTGTATCACGACATGATTCTGGTCCTGTCTTCCCAGAGTCCTGTCCACCGGAGAGGGTTTTGTGCATGGAGCTAGATGCGCCGCACCTCAGATTGAAAACATTTTCATACACAATAGAGTCATCGGGGACTTGTGCAATGTTTGCATACAGCGAGTGTCCCTTCACGTTTGCGGTCCCCACTCCTGGCTCCCCATCGCCCTGTGACTCGCCAGGACCGTCTGACGGGCGAGCCCCTTGCGTCAGGTCCGGCAGAGGATGCTGAATGTCGTTGACGGTGACCCTCTGACTTTGGGGTCTCTTGACGCGATGGGTACGACGTCGGGGAGCAGAACGCCGACGGAAACGGAGGCAGAGCACAAAGATAGCCGCACCGAGCAGCAAGAGACCCAATGGGATGGCCAAAGAGGGGATCCAGGACGTGCCGCCGGCATCAGCCGACGCTGAGGTGTCGTCCTCACTGTTGCGGCGTCTTGCTTTACAAAGTCTTGCCAGTTTGGGACGGCAGTGCTCACAGTGGTGGTCTAGAAGCGGCAGATGTATGCCTTCGTGAGTGCACAACACATTGCGCATTGTCATCCGTCTTTGGGCTCGCGTTGTCGAGGATAGTGGGCATTTCGACCCACATAGAAGCTGCGGCACTTGCACTTTAATTTTGCACTCGCATGCTATATTTATTCTTATCTTCTTCATTTTTAGGCTTCTTAAGTCCGAGAATTTCAGGGATCCATTGACAGCATTTTTGATGACAAGGTTAGAGAGCTTGATAATTCCTTTGTTTGATGAGAGCCCGTCAAAGGCATTCTGTGCGACCGTTGTGATATTGGATCGAAGTATCGTCACCCTGCCTTCAGCCCTGACGGCAAGTGCATTTTCTGTGAGATGTCCGAGAGATGAGACATTTATAGCAAATCGCCTCACGTCTAGATCAAATCCACGTGGTCCAATCGAACCGATCTGGGTGTCTCGAATATCAACATCTCCGATCGATCCTTGAATTGCCCGCTCTTTCACATCACCCAGCTGGCTGGAATGAATCTCCAGGATATCCCACTTCTTAGCTGCAAAGCAGCCTTCTTGAATACCCGCAGCAAATCCGACTGACGTCAGACTTAGCTTACCAAAAACCCCGCTAAACGTATTATACTGGCAGGGCAGCTGCATCGTAACATTTCGAAGCGAGAGCGTTCCTAGGTTAGTCCTAAAGGTGCCCGGGTAAAACATGCCGTTGGTGATGTTCTCCAAGGCAGCGTTGCTTGCGGAAGAGTTTGACACAATCGCGCCGTTGTGGATGGTACACTTGGATACAATATTATAAATCGATATGTTCAACTCGTTTGCCATCCAATGAGAGAATGAGCCGGTCTTCAGTTCAACATTGTCGATGTGATTCATTTCGATGGTGATTTGTCTCCGCTGTGATTGATGACCTGCGCTGTTATGCTCAATCGTAAGATTGGTGAGGTCCTCGAAATAGAGAGTGTCGAGAGATTCCAGCGAAGCAAGAGCGTTGCTTCTGATGTAAACATGCTCTGCATTGGCGATGCGCAGCTGACTTACAGAAGAAAGCGTATCGTCTGCATCGACCACAAGCTGTAAAAGAATGGACTTGTAAGATGTAATGGCGAATGTGTTGGTGATGCGAATTCAAATGCACTTGTTAACCCGCGCCCCGCTGGGGCTCCTGGATTTCCACGCCCTGCTGGGGGGGGGGGGTGTTTAAACACCCCCTTCTAACTCGGCTCCTGGGTCACGTAACGATACGCGGAAGGCGGCGTTCGAAAGAGCGCCAAAAATAATGACGAAATCAGTTCGGTCACTTTTTTGGTCAGGTCAAAGGTCAGGTCACAAGAGGTCATTGAAGGCAAAACTTCGCCGATTTTCAGGTCGAATGTTGACAATTTCCAAGAAGCCAACGCATAACTCGGGAACCAATAGAGCTACAGCGCCGCGGAAAAGTGCATTCGAGAGCCGTATTAACGCCCTTTCTGAAAAAAATCCTCTCAGATTTGACCTGTCGTCAACGGTTTTGCCTGCAGGGGGCAAAAACTGCTAAAATAGCCGATATTTTTCGAAAAGTTTTTTTTTCTGCAATAACTTTTGACTCAAGCCTTGCACGAGCTTACTTTTACCGGCATCGTGTTCCTCTCGTCAAGACGCATCGAATGAACTGCAATTTGACCTTGAAAGGTCAATTTGAAAATTTGACCTCAAGACAAGGTCATGACCTGACCGGAAAAGGTCATGTTGCATATCAGTCGATCCGTATCGTCGAGCTAAACACATCCAAGGCCTTTTCATCGCTCTAGCATGCCTCTATCAAAAGTTATTCGCGAAAAACTGTTAGATACCATCCGTGACCTGAGATGACCTCAGGGGCATAAACAGGGGTCACGGACACCATTTTCATGTTCAGTGTGTCTTAGTTACTTGTTATTCAGTGTTTGGGAGTGTTTATAATGGCTTTGTCCAAAAAAGCGCCTTTCAATTTTCTCCCATTGACTTCATAATGGGGAGGTCGCAAAATTGACTTGACCTTGGGTCATCGATATCAAAATTCTGAAAAATACATTTTGTACATACTGTTGCTCTTAGCAATCCCTGAAAGTTTCAAACCGATCGGTCACTCGGTGTAGCTATGGCAGACATTGAAACTTTTTATGAGGTGGGGTCTCTTCAAGTGACCTGGTGACCTGACTTTGAATGACCTTGGTCTGTAATTTTTACATGTGTAGAATTGATGTATGATAAGGTGTGCCAAAAACGGCGGCGCTCGGCGCCGCCGTCTTTTAGATATTTGCGAAAAACCACGGGGGGGGGGTGTTCAAACACCCCCCCCCCCCCAGCAGGGCGCGGGTTAAGTATCACGATCAACTAAAATATATGCAAGATAACAGCTATTATGTCGTAAAGGAAAAGGGAGATAAGTAATAGATTAAAGACACACCTAGTCAGTAGCTATTATCTAACATATTGCTATAGGAGACGGCGTATATAAACAATCATAAACTTGAACTTTCGAAAGTGTAGTGCCAGTCATTTAACACGGTCAGCAGCTGATCGATAGTCAGTAGTTGACCGACATAATTGGAAGTCTACTGCATTTCATCTGACTGAGCTGACTGTAGCACCAACAGAAAGAGTAGGCATCGAACGAGAACGGAACGATTATTGAAAATAAAAATGATTACCACCTAGGGACACAAACTCACCGAGTCGCGTTTCCGAAGATCGCACTCTAGGCTGGTCGGTCGGTATGTGCAGACCTTTTTAGTTACTTGTTGCCAACTACACTGTGCAGGTGGTGCCACAAACATCAGGTGCACCAGCAGCACCATTAGTGGCACCAGTCGACCAGCACCACCACATGTCATTGTAGGTCGCATGGCCGCTGCGCTTCACCACTCAGGAACAGAATCCATCGGCTTGTCGTGACCTGCAGTGACACAGCGTACCTAACCTACGACGGTCTCCAGTGACCTCAACTGACTTGCAGTGACTTCCCGTGACCTGACATTACTTGCGATGGCCTTCAACGACCTTCAATGACCTCATGTTACTTGCAATGAACCACCTTCAATGACCTGAAATGACTTCCAATGCCTTGCAATGACTTGCATGGATTTTCAATGGCCTACGGTACTCAAAGCCCCTCAGTGACCGTCCCCAGGCCCCTCACGATGGCCCAGTCGTCGACTGCGCACTGCCAGTAGCGACCGAGGGTCGAACCGGGGAAGTTGACTATCTCTGAACACGTCACCACCGACATTCGCTTCCTCTGCGCGCCGGTTTGGACGGTCTGCATGGTAAAACACCCACCGGTGCGGGACGTGGTAGGTGGTATTATGATTACTTTTTTGTGGATGTGAGAAAAGCCTTGCTTGAGGAACGACCCCTTGATAACTGAGCTACGACAAGTGCTGTTTTAGCCAGCAACAATCGTGTCTGTGTTGAGATAAGGGGAGCCCGGGCTCGGAGTTTGCATCTTGAAGTGCAAAGGATGTACCAATGAGGCATGGGTCCGCAGTCGCACCCAATTCCTTCAGTACTGCAAGCCATTTCTGGCAGCGAAAAACCTCAGCGGAAACCTGAAGATGATTAGCAAGGCTTTCATGAAAGGATGAGGATAGATTCAAAAATTATCGTGTCACCCGATGACATCGCGATAAATTTCCATACAACAATCGGTTGGAAGCGCATGTAAGGGATGATTTAAGTGTTGAACGCTGTTGCTTTCGCATTGTTTTTTTCACTTTTACTTGGTGCGCTAGTCAAGTGTTGTCTTCAGCCTCTTTTTATCTACTTTGTGAAGTCTGTGTTATTGGTAGTTGCATTGTTGATAGGTAGGTATGCACGATTGTAGGCTGTAGCTCGATTGTTAAAGGGACCCTCCCACCTTCAAAAAAGTTAACCCATTTATGCCCAGGAATATTGACCATCATGAAAATCGACGAAATCAAAATATGTTATGCTCCTACCAGGGCCTTGTATGGAATCGGAAATAATTTTTGCCTGCAGCAAAAGTTTCTCGAGAAAAACGTAAAAAACTTGCGTTGCGAAATCGCAACGAAGGGCACACCGGGCGCCATTAGCGTTGCGAAAACGCAACGACGGGCACATCAGACGGACATAAAGTACACTGAACTGCCGTATATGCTAATATGTTTTGACAAAACATCAATCAACTGTTGACAACTATTGCTTGAAAATGCGAAACCCACATCCGTCATGCTCTATAACCCGCCTAAGAGCCTCAGTGAGGAAGCATAACTTCATGATTCGCGAACGGGGGATGGCAACACGGTCATTATCAACCATTTACGTTGTCCATTGCTGTTCATTTAAAGTTGTGGTCGACACGTATCCAGGGTGATGCTTTCTTTTTGGAAGCTAGACAGATCCATTACCTCCACCTATCAGACCCTGCACAGTGCACACTGAATACAATTAAACGGAGGATTGGGAGTAAACCAGTGCCTCTCGTATGCGCGTATATCCGCAATCATTTTTAACCACCCTCCTAGGAGTAAAGTTAAATTCCATTGCAGGTTAGTCGTACCCACTCTCAGCAAAAAGAAAAAAAGGACCGATCCGGCTCTAACAAATTACCCGCGTAAGGCGTAGCGCATCACAACTAATCGACTCCCAGTTTATCATGTTTACACCTAATCCAAAATTTTCATGGCCCCACTCTCAGCGACCTTCACATGTAACCTCTTTCTCGAGACAATGCCAGGACAGAATGGTGATTCGACGTCAATCCGTCCTTTCCATCTTCAGGATAGTTGAATCCTCCTCCACGCCTCATCCCCCTGTTCCGGGCTGGACCGGCAACGTATATCGCAATCGGGCAGCTCACATAGGAGCGCGCCTGTAGCCGGGTGCAGTGAGTGCTTGGGAGGGGGGAAGGGGGTGGGTCATGGGTGGCGGCTGCCCACTGGCTGGGCTCAGTCTCCAGTCTACGATTAACCGTGTCCGGTCAGACAAATGTCTCCCCTAATTCCAATAATCCTGCTAGCTCTAAAAATGGTCTGATTAGATAAAAAGCCTATCAAAGTAAGAAAACAGGCGTATACTCCACATCAAGCAGCTTATGAATCTATGCGAGTTATGAATCCTAAAAATTATTATTTTCCCATGGGTCCGCCCTCAGTACCCCTGCCGAAGGGCTCAGCTACCCTCAGAGGGGGCCTATCCCACTATTTGCCGACCCTCAGTTATCTTTTCTAACGTAAATGCTGGTAGTCAGCAGATTCTATCCAGAGAATGGCGATGCCTATCTGTCGCCTGATACCAGAATACATCCCCGTTATTCATTATTTATGCACAATGTACATAGTAGATCCAATTTCCAAAGGACCTAATTATCTCTCAGCTCCGTTAGCATCGCCGACCGTTTGATGCATGGGTCCTTTTCCTACCATGCGATTTTCAGATGCATGGGAACACATTGCTTAGTGAACGAACAGCCCGAGGCCGAAAATCTACGAGAGAAAAAGAAAGGAGTGTTTGTGGCTGTTTGAGCCAGCAAATATGAAACGTGTCGCAACATTTTACGTGCGAACGCACCTTGCACTAAACATTAGGGTGTATCGTCGAATTTTGATTTTTTTTAATCGTCTTCACTACTAAATTTTATTATTCCCTGGCATGTTTGAAGCCGTAGGATACCAATCAAAAAAATCTGGGACGAAAACCTAGCCTGCTGCGAGAGGTTGAACGGAAGCCTGTCGGGGCGGCGCCAGGCGTTGAAGTCTCCCCGTTAGTTACGCGCACACTAGCACTACGCGGCGGCTGGCGCCGTGCCGCCGCGTTCCCGGTCAGCCGTGTTTTAGCGTTCACTGACGGGTCGAGGTGATTATTCTAAGCTTTCCTAAGAAGCTTTCTGCCCCGCAGCTCATTATTGAGCAAGAATATCGCACAAACTGCATAGAACATTGACATGCAGGTTGTCGGCACATCGGAGAAGGGGATGCTTTGGTTAATGCCTCCTTTAATAGGAAGAGATTGTGGAAGAACAACACATTTCTTTTGGAAATTACTCATCCTCCTTCTTCCTACGTGCCTGCTTTAGTAATCGAAGTACCCCTATTGACTCTACGTTCTTGATTCGGCTGTGGATTTTATGCATGGAATTCCGCTATATTATATTTTCTCGCTAAATGTCTCCTGAGCTATATTGAGGCGTCACGGGACAGCAATGCTCAGCACACAACCGCAGAGAAAAAGTCAATCTGGCCATGCGTTTTGTATGCTAAAATGTGTGAGCCTTGGTGTGTACCAGCAGCCGTTGTCACCATTGTAATTTTCACGACTTTATCTTTATAAGGATGCAATTTTCCACTTCCTAGTTCCCAGACTGGGTTTGGAGATATTATAGTTTTACAGAAACATTTGGGAATGTCTGTAATGTAAGTTAAAGCGAATACCGAAAGGAATCCACATATTTTCGATTTCCTGTATGCTGTATTGCTTACGTCATGCCAGACGTCATGATGGCATGGTTGCGATTGATGGTATGTCGGATGGTCAGGGTACGAACTCACGGTAAGTCAGCTTGGCCGGCAGGCATCAACAGGCACAATAGTCTTACACTGATATCGTCACCCTCAGTTATTCGTCACCATTCAGCAGCAGGGCCAGAGCTTCGGGCTTTGAACCGTAAGGTACAGGTGTAGGAGCAAGACATTGCGCCGATTCGAAGGGCTGGAAGGGCAGCATCGCGGGGGCTGGAATGCGCCTGAGCGGCTTAGACCATCCCATTGGGACGGGGGTGTTCTGAGTGCACTCAGCCGCTCATGCTGGGAAATGCATCCAATGGAGCTCTCCCCCCATCCCCCCGTTTCGAATGATTAGGGTGACCTTTAGTCTAGAACAAGGCAGGATGACTATTGGCTGGTCCCGAGGATAGATACAAAGGACAGGTAATGACATCATATAATGAATCGAAGACGGCCCCGGTCTGATCCTCTGATAGAGGCTCAACACGTGTCTCGTTGTGGACCATTTCGTTTTCCTCCACCGTAGTTTTTGCACCGACCTGAACGGGTTGGAAGGTAACGATGTTCAGAAACCATTAAGATCGTAATTGTATATTCGTTGTATATTCGTTCACTGAACAGGTAGGACAGGTTCAACACAGTCAAAACCTCATCCTATCATCCAATAATTATAAAGTAGTCTTCATGGAATGGAAAGGCTAACCTAACTCAACGAATATACAATTACGACCTTAATGGTTTCTGAACATCGTAATCTTCCAACCCGTTGAGGTCGGTGCAAACACCACGGTGGAGGAAAACGAAATGGTCCACAACGAGATACGTGTTGATGAGCCTCTATCAGAGGATCGGGCCGGGGCCGTCTTCGATTCATTATATGATGTCATTACCTGTCCTTTCTATCCTCGGGACCAGCCAACCATCATCCTTCTTTGTTCTAGACTAAAGGTCAGCCTAATCATTCGAAACGGGTGGGGATGGGGTAGAGCTCCATTGGATGCATTTCCCAGCAAGAGCGGCTGAGTGCACCCAGAACACCCCCGTCCCAATGGGATGGTCTCAGCCGCTCAGGCGCATTCCAGCCCCCGCGATGCTGCCCTTCCAGCCCTTCGAATCGGCACAATGTCTTGCTCCTACACCTGTGCCTTACGGTTCAAAGCCCGAAGCTCTGGGCCTGCTGCTGAATGGTGACGAATAACTGAGGGTGACGATATCAGTGTAAGACTATTGTGCCTGTTGATGCCTGCCGGCCAAGCTGACTTACCGTGAGTTCGTACCCTGGCCATCCGGCATACCATCAATCGCAACCATGCCATCATGACGTCTGGCATTAGCAATACAGCAAACAGGAAAATCGAAAATATGAGGATTCCTTTCGGTATTAGCTTTTAACTTACATTACAGACATTCCTAAATGTTTCTGTAAAACTATATCTCCAAACCCAGTCTGGGAACTAGGAAGTGGAAAATTGCATCCTTATAAAGATAAAGTCGTGAAAATTACAATGGTGACAACGGCTGCTGGTACACACCAAGGCTCACACATTTTAGCATACAAAACGCATGGCCAGATTGACTTTTTCTCTGCGGTTGTGTGCTGAGCATTGCTGTCCCGTGACGCCTCAATATAGCTCAGGAGACATTTAGCGAGAAAATATAATATAGCGGAATTCCATGCATAAAATCCACAGCCGAATCAAGAACGTAGAGTCAATAGGGGTACTTCGATTACTAAAGCAGGCACGTAGGAAGAAGGAGGATGAGTAATTTCCAAGAGAAATGTGTTGTTCTTCCACAATCTCTTCCTATTAAAGGAGGCATTAACCAAAACATCCCCTTCTCCTATGTGCCGACAACCTGCATGTCAATGTTCTATGCAGTTTGTGCGATATTCTTGCTCAATAATGAGCTGCGGGGCAGAAAGCTTCTTAGGAAAGCTTAGAATAATCACCTCGACCCGTCAGTGAACGCTAAAACACGGCTGACCGGGAACGCGGCGGCACGGCGCCAGCCGCCGCGTGGTGCTAGTGTGCGCGTAACTAACGGAGAGACTTCAACGCCTGGCGCCGCCCCGACAGGCTTCCGTTCAACCTCTCGCAGCAGGCTAGGTTTTCGTCCCAGATTTTTTTGATTGGTATCCTACGGATTCAAACATGCCAGGGACCAATAAAATTTAGTAGTGAAGACGATTAAAAAAAAAATCAAAATTCGACGATACACCCTACTAAACATACCTATATACGTCCCTCATGGCATAGGCGGCGGAGCGGGGGGAGGGGGCACCGGGGCACCGTGCCCCCCTTGATTTTGCCATTTTAACATTATCCCGATAGGCGTTGCATAGAAATGGAAATGGAAAGAATGAGACCAAAAGTCAGCAGTGCTCCCCCCCCCCCCTTAATTGAAAATGTTCCGCCGCTACAGCCTCATGGCTACAAAATGAGAGAGAAAGAAAGAGAGAGAGAGAGAGAGAGAGAGAGAGAGAGAGAGAGAGAGAGAGAGAGAGAGAGAGAGAGAGAGAGAGAGAGAGAGAGAGAGAGAGAGAGAGAGAGAGAGAGAGAGAGAGAGAGAGAGAGAGAGAGAGAGAAAGAGAGGGGGAGAGAGTTGGGGAACGAGGAGGAGAGGGAGGAAGATGGGGGAGAGAAAGAGAGAACCCACAGCGTATCACGAGTGAAGTCTACTGTTGATATTCATACTTCCGCTACCCTGCCAATGTGCCCATCGTTGCGTTTTCGCAACACCGCTGTCTTTCCGATGTGCCCTTCGTTGCGTTCCCGCAACGCGACCGTAGTCATATTTGAAAATAGTCACAAACCCTTTTTGTAGCATTATTTCTTAACAAAATGCACATCTACGCTATTGTAGGGACTCTGCAGAATATGTTTACACAATTTTCATTACGATATTATTAAGCACTTAGCCTACTTATCTTGATTTTCGTGACGTCATCACTCACAAAACCTTCGACTTCCCTCTGGGAGCTCTAGGCAGTAACTTACCGGCCGCACAGACTTGTAACTGCGTAGTATCATGCGCACAACCATGCTACACACGCTGAAACTTGTCTCATCGGTTAGTCTCTTTTACACACTTCTCAAGCTTCGATCACGTCAACGCTTGCTTGCGTTGCGAAAACGCAACGAAGGGCGTAAATGGGTTAATTAATGAATTGGCATGAAGTTGGCTCGGTTCAGAAAGAGCAAAAATGAATATCTACCAAATTTAACCGAAAAATATTCACCGGTTTTCAAGATAATAGACATTTACTTTTGTTTACCTTTTTGAGATCTCCGCTGTTTCTAGCGACTTTATTTTGAAAGTGCGGCGTTTGCGGCAGATGTTGCGCGCAAATAGCATATACCACCACTGCTTCACAAAGATGTTAGTATAAGGTTTTAAAATCGTTAGATCACCGCTGACGTCACAAATTCTAAGGGGGCATCCCTGATCCCAATGCATTAGCCCCTTAGAATCCGAAAACTGCAAGTTTGAAATTCCATATATCCGAATTAAAGCATTTTTCGATGTTGTGAGTGCCCAAACCGGTATTTGCAGGCCATGGCCACCAATTTGGCTATCTCAACTCAAAACTAATGCTAAGGAGGGATGGTCACTTTAAGAAATAGAGGCAGAGGATGACATGTGATGTCGGTATACCACTTTGCATGAGCTGGACATGAGCAGCATAGGTATCTTGTGAGCAGCTATCAATTAACATTTTTGGGGAATATATGATGCCGTTAACGTACTACAGGTTAACATTCTTGCATGAACAGGTTCGATGTCTAGGTCAAATGTCACCGATAAATCAGAAAAGTTTGACGTTACACAGGTATTCTAATACATCATGGTGGGGCTACCTTATGCTATTTGATGTTCGAAATCGTTTCAGCAGCAGTGTAAATATGGTAGAGGGCCGCCGGAGCTACCCTCCCGTGTACGGGAATGAGGGACTGAAATTCCACAAGGGAACCGAAATTTCTCTCCTCAGTCTTGGTTTAGCAGTACGAAGCACCAGTAATGAAGGCAGAGTTTATAATCTGCATGACATGAACTGCGAAGTGGATAAGATCACAAACACTTTATATAATAAGCTTCCCTAAACACGTGCCTCATATAATTATATTACAAAGTAAAATGCGTGAAAAGCGTTTAACTACCAACACAAGTCACCTCTACTGATTCATGTTTAAGTGAGCATTTGTACGACCATTCTGTTTCACGCGTTCCCTCGCGTACCGTCGAAGTGAGTTATAACTTGAGTTATATTATAACTCACGCAAACACCGCTACCACACCAACTCTTCCAGCGGGCGTTTGTATTTGAACGTCTCACGACATCACGCAAAGGTCCCTGCCGCGCCTCCGCTGGGCAGGGTGGACCACAGCAATAAACACGAACACGCACAAATCACCATGGCAACGGGGAATACAGCAGACTCGGTCCCCAAGGGCCCAGCGCAACCACGACAATCCCCGAGACCTCCAGACATTGACTTTTGGCACTGAGCTCGTGCTAGTATATATGTACACCAAATCAGCCGGATTACACGCAAGCTGTGTGCTTTTACCCGCCATTACACAACGCAGGAAGCACGATCAATAACTTCTAGCATACTCGATCTACAGTCGCCAAGCGCTGCTTTCTAGCGTCTACTCGGCACGATGGGGCAGAGCTGACCTCGTGTCGGTCACGTGACGACCCTCGGGGCACGGTGTGACCTGTAGGTCACTGCTGGGTGTCTCCAGGAGGAGTCGGTAGCGGGTACGGACTGGTGTAGGTAGCCACAAACGTACGGATCTCCATGGGGTTCAGTGTGACCTGTGGAACACGCAGAGGTCGGCCGGTTGTCAGAGTCGGGTTGTAGTTACAACACTCCACGGCTTGAGCTAAAGGCTGAGAAGTCATGGAATAAATAAAATAATAGAGTGCATGTGAAAACGCAGTCGCTGATTTTCAGAAAAAACAGCAGATTTTTTTCAGCATATAAACTGGCGTTGAATTTGATTTGGTGAACTAGATACACAAATAAAGTACTAAATAAAATAAAGTACCTATCATTGACATTATCTTACATTCATTGGTTCTACACTAATACGCAGATGCCGCTCTAGCAGAGTTGCCGTCTTTGAGCACACAGCATGCTAGCAATTACATTACACACGTTCTAGACAACGCAGTTACGATAAGTCGACCTTGTGGATCACGTCGAGGCTCGAGCCTTGTGTGGTTTTCCTTTTAAATATAAGTTTGACCTTATATAGACTAGATATGTAGTTGAGCTAAATAGTTGGTGAAAATAAAATAAAACACTTGATGTAACCAAGTAACCAAAAAGACCAAAAATCTCGCAATCTCACGCCACTACCGCCAGACAAGCAGGACTGTAGCAACATGGCGGAACTGACCGTCAGCGGGTCGGCCTCGGCCTCTGTGTTCCTGTAGGTCTCCTGAGCCGCGCGGCGGAAGTTTTTCGGCATGCTGTTGGACTTGTCGTGGTCCCAGTGGAAGCGGTTGATGTCACTCAGAGGTCGGTCGGCGGACAGACCGTATTCGACGACCGAGGTGATGTTGAGGGTCGTGAACAGGTCCTGGAGAGGGGTGACCAGATGAGCAGGTGAACATGTCAATAAGGTAACAGATGAGCAAATGGACATATTACCAGTTAATATATGAAAGGATAAACTGATGAACCGATGGGCAAATGAACATGTGATCGTACAAACAAGTGAACATGAGTGAACAAAGGTGAAGTATGTAAACGAATGAACAGTCCAGATGAATAGACCGGTAATAAGGGCATGGCGTGAACGATTTAGTCACTTGTATAAACGGAAACCCGTTAAAAGAAGCTCAGCATTGCTCACAGGCAGCGAACACTTGATCAATACATTTCCAACTTTCCACCCTAACCACAACTTCCCACTCGAGGTCCAGACACAATGCGTTTGGCTTCGAGACTTCCCATCCCGGTACCTTCCCCGGCCCCGATCCACTGACCTGAATGTTGACATCGACAGGAGAAATAAACTAAATAAATGTCTTACACCACCTACCTTCCCCGACCCCAGCACTCACTGACCTGAATGTTGACATCGACAGGAGAAATAAACTAAATAAATGTCTTAGATTACACCACCTACCTTCCCCGACCCCAGCACTCACTGACCTGAATGTTGACATCGACAGGAAAACTGAACTAAATAAACGTCTTACATTACACCACCTACCTTCCCCGACCCCAGCACTCACTGACCTGAATGTTGACATCGACAGAAAAACTGAACTAAATAAACGTCTCACACCACCTACCTTCCCCGACCCCAGCACTCACTGACCTGAATGTTGACATCGACAGGAGAAATAAACTAAATAAACGTCTCACACCACCTACCTTCCCCACCCCCTGCACTGACCTGAATGTTGACATCGACAGGAGAAATAAACTAAATAAACGTCTCACACCACCTACCTTCCCCACCCCCTGCACTGACCTGAATGTTGACATCGACAGGAAAACTGAACTAAATAAACGTCTCACACCACCTACCTTCCCCACCCCCTGCACTGACCTGAATGTTGACATCGACAGGAAAACTGAACTAAATAAACGTCTCACACCACCTACCTTCCCCGACCTCGGCACTCACCTGAATGTTGACATCGACAGGAGAAATAAACTAAATAAACGTCTCACACCACCTACCTTCCCCACCCCCTGCACTGACCTGAATGTTGACATCGACAGGAAAACTGAACTAAATAAACGTCTCACACCACCTAACTTCCCCGACCTCGGCACTCACCTGAATGTTGACATCGACAGGAAAACTGAACTAAATAAACGTCTCACACCACCTACCTTCCCCGACCTCGGCACTGACCTGAATGTTGACATCGACAGGAGAAATAAACTAAATAAACGTCTCACACCACCTACCTCCCCCGACCTCGGCACTGACCTGAATGTTGACATCGACAGGAGAAATAAACTAAATAAACGTCTCACACCACCTACCTTCCCCACCCCCTGCACTGACCTGAATGTTGACATCGACAGGAAAACTGAACTAAATAAACGTCTCACACCACCTACCTTCCCCGACCTCGGCACTGACCTGAATGTTGACATCGACAGGAGAAATAAACTAAATAAACGTCTCACACCACCTACCTTCCCCGACCTCGGCACTCACCTGAATGTTGACATCGACAGGAGAAATAAACTAAATAAACGTCTCACACCACCTACCTTCCCCGACCTCGGCACTCACCTGAATGTTGACATCGACAGGAGAAATAAACTAAATAAACGTCTCACACCACCTACCTCCCCCACCCCCTGCACTCACCTGAATGTTGACATCGACCGGCAGACTGAGCTCGACATCCTCTCCAGTTTCGAACTGGTGCTCCAGTCGCAGCAGCAGCCGGTCTGGTTTGTACATCTCCAGTGTCAGGAGGTGCACGTTGGCGGGCAGTGGCTTCATACCGGTGAACTAGAACGGAGAGGGAAGGCTGGGTGAAGCTGGCGGTACGGGGTCAGAACAGAGATTGGGAAGAGTATGTCTAGAAGCTTGGTATTCCGCATGTCGATCTACCGGTTTAAACTTATTCTTTCTTTCGTATGTTCCAGACTTACCTTAGATCAAACATCATCGTTCTATCTACCAGCTTCGATTCCTAACTGCAATAAAACCATATCAACCGTCAATTTCTTCAAATCCAGCTTTTATATCTCCCCAATCCTTTCTCAGAGTATCTTATTTCAACATCATATTCTCTGATGTTCAAGCACTATAATTTAATGCATAAATAAATAAATGCTTCCCCAGTCTTCCCTCACCTGTTTGACCACCGTGTCACTGTTCCACATGTCCAGCGTCATGCCGTTGGCGCTGGCGAACGTCAGCTGCGGGCCCATGAACATCTGCTCCGCCAGGTCCCGGTGAAGTCGAGGAGCGTCTCCGACGGCACTGGCTACCAGCCAGTGCCGGCCTCTGACCACCATACCAACTCCGAACTCCGTCTCGTTGAGAGGCTCACCGACTCCGAACTGGTCGTCTTGGACGGTGCGACGGTGCAGCTGTATAGGGGGAGGGGGGTCAGATGGGAGGTCAATCAAGTACTCATGTGCTCTACATACCTATTTACATATATACTAGGGTGTGTCATCGAGGGGGTGATTCTCGCAGAATCAAACGCCGTAAGGTTTTTCCTTGGCACATTGATCAATAATGAATTTTCATCCATATCCGAGTCCACCAAAATTAAAATTCGTGCGGCGCCAGCCGTTCAAAGTTTTGGCGCCCGGCGTTGCAGTCTCCAATGCTGAGCGTCACCCAGCACTGCGAGTAACACCAAGTATTGCAGCAGGTAATAATGCAAAATAACTACCGCTGAAAATGATGCTTTTGAGCGCTTCTAAGGCTGGTTGTTGCAAAGAGCATGTCATTAGAGTGTCCAATTACTGTTTTTATTGTGCTCAATGAATTAAATCGAGCATTGCTACTGAAACTAAAGAAAAAACTGCCCGATTTTGAGAAGCGGGCGGGGTGGAGGCGGAGACGGGAAGCGACTCAGATTCGTCTTCTGAAAACACCGACTCCGTGGCATCCTCTGGGCGGTGCTTCTTCTTCTTCTTCTTCTTCAGCATGTCATCTCGTGTGACCTGGCCCGTCTCCACCAGGAAGTCCCGGATGAGTCCAGCCTCGGTGGAAAGGATCTCCCTCAGCGTCGGCAAAGGGCCCCACGGGCGGGTCCGTGGCCCCTGGTAGGCGGGGTAGTCGACCAACAGGTGTTTGGCCGAGTCCGGTTCGTCGCAACGGACTTTCTCGTCAGACTCGGCCGGACCAAGTCGGAATCGGGTGTCTCCGGTGAGTGGGGAGCAGCTCACGCGGAGCTGTGCCACTGTGATCTGGTATGGTATGGTATTGATCCTAGATGGTTTCGTAGCTACCTGACTGGTCGACGGCAGGTGGTGAGAGGTGGTTCCTTGTCCTTGCCTCTTTCCCATGGGGTTCCGCAAGGTTCCCTAGTCGGTCCCATCCTCTTCAGCATCTTCACAAATGACCTTCCATCCTATCTTCCTCACGGTCGCCTCATCTCCTACGCCGACGACACCCAATTACTTGACTCGGCCCGTCCTAAAGATCTATCCATCCTTAAATCCCGACAGGAGGATACCCTCCGTGCTGTCCTCTCCTACTTCACATCCAACTCCTTAAAAATGAACCCATCCGCTCCACTCTGCTCCTTGTCGGCACTGCCCAAAACCTTAAGAAAACCTCATCCTTCCACCTTAACCTGCCAGGCTACTTACTAACACCCTCGCCATTTGTGAAGATGCTGGGAGTGACCCTAGACCCCACCTTATCCTGGGAAAACCACATCTCCAACGTTGTCAAAAAGTGCAATTCCATCCTTATATGTCTGTATAAAATTCGCCATCATCTCAGTCCCGACATCCTTAAGCTCCTTATCCAGTGTCATACCTTTCCTCACATCCTGTACTGCCTCTCTGTCTGGGGTGGCGCCGCTGCATGCCACCTTCACCGTGTGCAGAAGGCGATGAATTTTGGTGCGAGGGTTGTCTCTGGCGTGCCCAGGTATCACCATATATCGCCGATCCTAGCTGCGCTGGGCTGGTGTGACGTGCGCGAGCTGGTTGAGCGCCGTGACTGCCTCGGCGTCTACAGGGCGCTGAGGGACCCGCACGCTCCCGCGGCGATCCGCTCCCTGTTCGTCCCTCGTACAGCGGTTTCCCGGCGCAGCACCCGGTCGACTGAGGCGGGCGCTCTCGAGCTGCCTCCATACCGCCTGTCCGCGTCGCGCCGCGCGTTTTCTTACCGAGCGGCCGCGGCGTGGAACCGCCTGTCGCCGGCTGTCACCGGCTCTGTAACCCGCGCCGAGTTTCTGCGCCGGCTATCGAACTAGTCGAGGGTCTGGTTTGTCCGACTTTGGACCGTGTTTTTATATACCCATCTCTTGATTGTGATTTACTGTGATATTGACTGTGTCATGTTTTCATCTATGTACTCTGACTCGGACTAAATATTAAGCCACTATGTGGAAATGTCCTCAATACACCGAACTTGAACTTGTGATCGACGCTCGGCGGTCCAGTTCTCTCTCCGTGGCCCAGAGCGCCACATCGTCCGCATTCGCAGATGTGTACCTCCAGTTCCCGAGCCGCAGTTATAGCCGGTCATACGAGCCTGCAGGGTTAGCGTCCGATGGCTGCGCTGGTCCTTCAGGAAGACAGCCTCCTCCTGAGTGACTGTGGGCGATGAGACTTTTGCACCTGCTCTGAGAGTTGCATTTGCATTTGGCGATATCCAGGAGTTGTTGAATTATGCAGTGGCGGCGCTTTGCTGGTTCCCTGTGTCGTGCTATAATTGTCGTATGGGCATTTCCTAATCAGCTACGTTTTTTTTTTCGCCTCGTGAATTATGATCCGGATAGCATAGGGCCCTGCCGAAAGTGACACGGCCGCGTACAAAACATTTCGCGATAGGACAGCCGGCACTTTTGTCCCAACAGCGACTGCTGACTAAAGCAGAGGCCTTCAGTTATGTCAGGTGGCTGAGTGCTCAAAGAAGAAATCCAACAAATAGTGCATTTAGGGCCGTGGCGAAAAAAGGACAAGGCAACTCTGAACTAATGAAGGAATCCCTGTTCGCGATCTATGTAAAACACACGACGAAAGTGAGCAAAAGGGACTGCTATAAGCCCTACAGACAGCCCTACAGACTTCTGAACAAAACACCAGAGACACAGGAAGGAACAAAGCGCCGCCACTGCATAATTCAACAACTCCTGGATATCGCCAAATGCAAATGCAACTCTCAGAGCAGGTGCACAAGTCTCATCGCCCACTGAGTCACTCAGCAAGAGGCTGTCTTCCTGAAGGACCAACGCAGCCATCGGACGCTAACCCTGCAGGCTCGTATGACCGGCTATAACTGCGGCTCGGGAACTGGAGGTACACATCTGCGAATGCGGACGATGTGGTGCTCTGGGCCACGGAGAGAGAACTGGACCGCCGAGCGTCGATCACAGTGGCACATCTCCGCGTGAGCTGCTCCCCACTCACCGGAGACACCCGATTCCGACTCGGTCCGGCCAAGTCTGACGAGAAAGTCCGTTGCGACGAACCGGACTCGGCCAAACACCTGTTGGTCGACTACCCCGCCTACCAGGGGCCACGGACCCGCCCGTGGGGCCCTTTGCCGACGCTGAGGGAGATCCTTTCCACCGAGGCTGGACTCATCCGGGACTTCCTGGTGGAGACGGGCCGGGTCACACGAGATGACATGCTGAAGAAGAAGAAGAAGAAGAAGAAGCACCGCCCAGAGGATGCCACGGAGTCGGTGTTTTCAGAAGACGAATCTGAGTCACTTCCCGTCTCCGCCTCCAGTTCCACCCCGCCCGCTTCTCAAAATCGGGCAGTTTTTTCTTTAGTTTCAGTAGCAATGCTCGATTTAATTCATTGAGCACAATAAAAACAGTAATTGGACACTCTAATGACATGCTTTTTGCAACAACCAGCCTTAGAAGCGCTCAAAAGCATCATTTTCAGCGGTAGTTATTTTGCATTATTACCTGCTGCAATACTTGGTGTTACTCGCAGTGCTGGGCGACGCTCAGCATTGGAGACTGCAACGCCGGGCGCCAAAACTTTGAACGGCTGGCGCCGCACGAATTTTAATTTTTTGCAAAAACGGTTGCTATGCCGTGTGTTTGCAGGTCTCAGTGCCAAGGAATTTCTTTACGGCATTTGGTTCTGTTACTGATGACACACCCTAATATATACCTAACGTATTGACCGATGGTAAACAACTTTACAAGTATATGTGGAATAGTGTGACGTATTATCAAGCCTCCAGTAACGCGTACCCTTCTATGTCAATTCGCCTGGTTGGATCTTTTCCTCGGAAATTCAGTGAATAGATGAAGCTATTTGCTGAATGTCCACAACCACTGAAACGTTCACAACCAACACATTCCACAATTTAAACCAATCTCCACATCCAACCAACTCAACCTGAAACAGTTAAGGCCTGACTACACTATGCGTTCTCTGCGTGCGTTTTTTGCGGGTTTGCGGGTTTTGCGTAATATCGTTCTAGAATAAAAAAAACGTTATTACGTTTATGTGATGTTTTTATATTAAATTTTAGTTAATATAAGAGTTATATTAACTTAAGTACACAACTAATGCACAACAAGTGTAAAAGTTGTTTTATTTAGGTATAACTTTTTCCAGAACGATATCACGCAAAAAACGCAAACCCGCAAAAAACGCACGCAGAAAACGCACAGTGTAGCCAGGCCTTTACACTTCTCCATCTAAAATATCTATCGAAACTAGCTTGTCCGACGGCAAAACTTTGCTTGGAATCGCGCAAGAGACGTTTGAGAAGTTCATAAAGCACCCTCAACGGCCTCAACCAGGACATCCACAAATCAAAACCAATCCAAACATCCAACCAACTCCACCTGCACTACACTCCTCTCTCTTCTCTTCTCTCCTTCCTTCCTCTCTTCCTCTCACCATCAGTTCCAGTTGTCCAGAGGAGAGACTGGCTCCTCCCTCAGACCGGTCGGTCAGAACGGTCAGCTGATTGGACTCGTCCTTCACAAAGATCCTAGAGTTGACCGGGTAGTAGTTACCGGCCACCGGTTCGGTGACGTTCAGGGTCCAGGTGTTGCGGTGGTTGCGACGACCTGGAAGGGGGGGGGAGTAAGGAGGGACGTTTGTGTTAGTTTTTAGATAATGGAGAGTTGAGTAGGCAAAAATGAGGAGGGATAAATATACATAGACGGGTGATATGAAGATACAAACGGAATTATATACAGTAGTAGTAGAACGATATGAGTAATTATTGGAACTAAAATCTGAAATCACGTTGCATAGAGAAAATACACAGATAAAAAAGAAACGCTTGTGATTAGAACAACATAGCTTAAAGTAAGGCGTGCAAAACATAACTACTTGTTCGATATTTTTCCACAGTCGTACAGCCTCATCAAACAAGTAAATACTCCCTTACCTTAAATACCACCTGGAGAAAGGCCATTTCAAAGCCCTCTCACACAGGACGCCACCTTCCCTTCTCCGCTCTCCCCTTAACTATTCCTCCCTCCCTTGCTCCTAGCCTTCAATCTTTCTTATCTATCGTTTACTCATCATTCCTCCCTCCCTTGCTCCTAGCCTTCAATCTCATCTATCGTTAGTACTAACGTTCCATCATCTGGCGTCCGTTGGAGTCGGTGTAGAACAGGTCACCGGAGCTGATGTCCGTGTGGTACCGGCTGATCACCTCCTTAGCCTTACCGTCTCTGGTGACAGACCGAGACGAACGTAAAGGTAATTAGTATTTGATTGAAAGTGCGGGTGATTAGAACGTGCGGACAGACAAACGCACCGGTACTCAGTACATAGCTTAGGTTCGACAATCACGACACTGAGGTAAACAGCAGTAATTTTACAAACGAATTATTGCACACAATAGCCCATTTTGCAAGCAGTGGATCTGATAACTATTGGGAAGTAGAGCGTTTGCAGATGGTTGAGAATGAGTACCTCTTTGGTTTTTGGCTTCTTTTGTAATTTACTCTATCCTGTTTTTTTTTATAATGTTTTATGTCCGAAACATCTGATTAATTCACCGGCCCAGCTCTCTGTAAAAACACCAATACTCTCCCTCTTTCCCACTTCTCTATCACTCCTCTCCACCACTCCTTCGTTCAGACCATTCCCTCATTCTCCTACTCTCTTCTAGCCACAGCATTTTGGCCACCCCTCCCCTCCCTCCCTCTGTCCGCTCTTCCCTCCCACTCACTCGATGGGAATCGGTCCGACCTGCCACTCGACCTCAGCGTACGGCTGATCCCTGTACAGCCGGGTCACCTGAGATACCCAGTCGAGCTCGAACGAGTGGTGAAACTCCTTCACTAGAGGTCCGTCCAGGGTCAGCACCGACTGCGGGGCGCACAGGGGTCACATGACGTCACATGGGGTCACGGGAGGTCACCCGGGGTCACATGGGGTCACGGGAGGTCACCCGGGGTCATATGGGGTAACGTGAGGACACATGAGGGTATAAGGGGTCAGAAATGGTCACAAAAAGTCACATGAGGCATGATGATATAGGGAGTTGCGTGGGTCGTCTAAGGTCACAAAAGGTCCTACGAGGTAGCGAGGAGGCATGAGGGAAACAGGGTCAAACAGGGTCACCAAAGGTCGCAGGGAGCCGGGTTAAAATACAAGCAGGAGAAAACGAGGAACATCTGGCGCCAGACTGGATTAGAAATGACAGAACGAAGGAAGGAAATTCAAATCTTATTACAAAATAAGGAATAGCTGCGTTCATCTCAGACAATCAAAGTGTAATTGAGAAAGAAGAAGTCTTATAGACCTATCATGAGCTCTAGATAATACAGCAAACACTGAAAGTTCTCTCGCTGAGTTAACTCAACATATTTGGGCTCCATACTGACCTTGACCTCGACGGGCTGCGCCTCTCCGACGGGGTTGAAGATGTACGCCCCCGTGGGCCGCTGCGGCGGCTCCCACTTGGAGCCGTTGGCGTCACCGTAGCCGTGGTACCACATGAACGTCTGGTTCACCTGAGGGCGCGGGGCGAAGAGTAGAGGTAAAGGTGGGATTATAGATGTCGGTACATAGCCCGATGGAAATGGAGTCGCTGAACTGTTTGTTTGTTTTGTTGGGTTAGGCCCTTTCGGTCGACAAGACCATTGCAGAGCCGGAAGGATGATAGGAATTAGGGGGAGACATTGGTCTGGGCAGGCACCCTAGTGAGTCGCCGGGGCTGAGCCCGTCCAGAGGACAGGCCACCCAGCCCCAAGGCACTCACTGCACCCGGCTACGGGGTGCGCTCCCTCGGGAGCAGCGGTGCCGCTCCAAGGGAGCAGCCCGCATGAGATAAAGTTGCCTGTCCACGCCGA